AGTGCGGGGGGGTCGCAGCAGAGCGGAGTAGAGGGGCAGGATCACCTCCCTCGACCTGCTGGTCACGCTGTTTTTGATGCAGCCCAGGACACGGTTGGTTTTCTGGGCTGCAAGCGCACACTGCTGGCTCATGTTGAGCTTCTCGTTAATCAACACCCCCCAGGTCCTTCTCCTCAGGGCTGCTCTCCATCCATTCTCTGGCCAGCCTGTAGTTGTGATTGGGATTGCACCAACCCACGTGCAGGACCTTGCCCTTGGCCTTGTGGAACTCCACGCGGTTCGCACGGTCCCACCTCTCCAGCCTGTCCAGGTCCCTCTGGATGTCATCCCTTCCCTCCAGCGTGTCGACCACACCACGCAGCTCGGTGTCGTCAGCAAACTTGCTGAGCGTGCACTCGATCCCACTGTCCATGCCACCGACAAAGATGTTAAATAATACTGGTCCCAGTACGGACCCCTGAGGGACACCACTCCTCCCTGGTTTCCACCCAGACGTCAAACCGTTATATTGCATCAGCGAGCTCCTGCCGGGGCTGCCGAGTGTGTTTGCTAGCACCCGCAAAAGGCAGGGGCTTGCACGAGTAACGACTTCCGCACAGCCTTGTTATCTGAGACTCTCACAGTCATTTATTTTTTTGTTCATGGCAGAAATCAGAAGGAAAATCGGTCGTTTTATTTGGGAGCAGGCGGATGATTCACTTGCAGAACAGGTAAGATGAGAAATAGCTCCTACAGGAGGTGTAGCTTAAAAAAAATAGCATTTGTATGAACCACAGGGACCCTGGTTGACATCCCAGACCCTCAACCCAAATACGGGATCAAATCTTCTTGTCCTCACGTGTCCCTCCCAGCCCGACATCCCAGGGGACGCAGCACCAGACTGAGCGCAGGATTTTCTCCCTCACCCAGACACTCAGTTTCCCTGGCGCGTCCTTCCAGGGATGCCGATCGCCACGGCCTGTCACGCAGCATTTTCCTTCCCCGTGTAGCTCCGAGACACACTGCCCGCTCTCTTCTCGAAGCAACTTCTCAGTACTTTTGAAGCAAAAGCGTGATTACATTCAAAACTTTATTCTAAATTACGCTTGAAATCACAAGTCCTAAAAATACCACTCTCTTGGACCACGTCCCTACTATTTTGCGGGGTACCCAGGGCACAATTTTAACCGTGTTGATACTCACAGCCCAAGGAAAATCTGACGGACGAACTGGAGGCGGCGAGAAAAGCCTGTGAGGAAGAAGCGGAAGAGGATACGCTGGACCTGGCCGAAAGGTATTTTCCTGCCCTCGGTGGCAGGATTTGGATGTGCCCCCCACATTTCAAGAGATCCCCAGTGTATAGGAAGTAACGCACAGATTCTTTTCCCCCGACGACACAGCAGTGAAGAAGAAACAAGCTCCAGAGCTCCTGCCCAGGGCAAATTTCCATACCATGCCCTCCGGGAATACCCGATGAATAACATGGTGACAGGTAAAGTTCAGCGTCGGTAGATTTTTTAAGAGTGGAAAATATGCCTGAAAATGGAAAATATGCCTGAAAACAACCGCGGATGAAGCAGGGATCCCCTCCGCGTGCTCCTTGCTTCCTCCTGATACTTAGAGCAGCGGAAACGCTGGGGGTGTGACAGGAACCGCTCCCTTCCCCTCCATGCTTTGCGTTTTCCACCGTCCCAGTCTGAGAAGAGGACAGCTCCTCCAGCAAGACCTCACGTTTCCCTTCGTAGGCTACGCCTCTGCTCGTGACATGAAGAAATATGACGGAGAGCTCCGCGATTTTATTCCCGGCACTTCGGGCTACACGGTGTATTGGATTCAGAACGAAATTAACATTTACACTGATGTGAAGACTAAAATGAAGAGAAAATTGTAAGTAACAGGTGGCTGTTGGCATCAAAAACTTATAAATAGCTGTCAGAGAGCTATTGGTTGTGTTTTGAAATCCAATCCCAGAGAAGCTGAGATGCCTCCTCACTCGCTCTTCTACAGATCGATGGTTATTTTACCCATCGGTCTGCGTTCTCCCTGTGTTCTAGTTAAATAGCGAAGAAATTGGTGTGGTATCGAGCTGCAAATTCTGAGTTAGATCTCCGCGGTATGCGGGGGAATTTATAAATTATCCCTGCTTGGCTTATCCTGACTGCAGCTCAGCATGTTTGATGTATATTTAAATACCTGGCTACACTTAACTGTAAACATTTTCTTCAAGTAAGTATTTAAAAAAAAATTCCACAGCAAACTTAAATATAGACATTTCTCCTCAAACCACAAAGCCTTTGTCTTTTTATTTGTACAGAGGGACTCAGGATATGGCTGCGAAGTAATTTTCCTGGGAGGGACACACAGAAGCGTCCTCGCAGGGAGAAGTCACCCCGTGACACAGCAGCACCCACGCGTGGTACACGCACACCAGTGGGACCCGGCGCCGTCGCGGGGCTGGCAGGACAGGCAGGGGCTGGCCCGGGATCTCACACGGGGAGCTCCGTGGGTTTGCAGAGGTTTTGAGCGCAGGGCTCCAGACCTCCCCTAAGCAAAACCCACCGGAGCTGGTCACGCAAGGCGCGGGGGAAAAGTCAGGGACCCTCGCCCAGCCGGGGTGCCAGGAGCGCTGCCTGCCCTTGCCAGGGCACCCTGCCCGCAGGTCAGGGTCTCCTCTGCCTCCAAAGAGCCTCTCCATAGCAGGGCGGTTTTGGGGGGCAGCAGTGAGCCCCAGAACTCTTCCCATCCTTGCTGCACCCTGGGGAAATTGTTGTATGGAGCATCTCGCTGGGGGCAGGACAAGCACAAACTGCACCCGGGCCCGGCTCCACAGGAGCTTCCACCCAACACAGTGCTCTGCTCGGCCCCATTCACTCCCCTCATACAACAAAAACCAGCGACAAGACTTTTTCCTTTCATTTAAGCACTTAAAAGTGACCAGCGCAGTTATAAAAAGCAAATTTTATTCTGGCACAGCATGACCCCCGTGCTGTCCGCTCGGAGGAGGCACAGGCAAACCCCACCCCGGAGGCGCTGAGGAACTCTGGCAAGCTCCGAGGAGCCACCACAGTTGTCCTCTCCTGGTGGCGTACCACAGGACAGCCTGTAAAATAACAACTTTGCACCTCGCACCCCAAACAGCCAGGAAAGAACCCAAAAAGATGCCAGAAAACACGAAGGTGTTGAGTCCTCCTCACCTTCCGAAGCCTTGGACACCTGTATTTGGGATGCGGCACCCTGAGGAACCAGCCCTCCCTCCTCATCCCTGCGGACGCAGGCTTCCAAAGACCAGGCAGGCTGAGATGTTTTCCCTACTTTTATTGGAAAAGTGACATACAGCGACTGACTCAGAGCGCTCCTCGGGGCGTTTTGAAGTTCATCCCCACCGTGGGCTGCGTCACCTGCAGGTTGGACAGGCTGCCGAAATCCTGGAAAACAACACGGGATGGGGAGATCGGTTACACCGCGCTGCCTGCCACCTGCACAAGTGCCCAGAGCGCCGAAGCCTTCGGCCAACACCATCAAGCCCCTCAGGGCAGCAGGATCGCTGCTGGGGACATGCCACCGGCCTGGCACGGGGACAGCTGGGGACACTCACCAGGAGCTTCAGCATTTCCTTGGTGTCTGGGTCCACTTCGATAATCTCCTGGTCGAGGGCAGAAACCTGGGGATGGAAGAGATAGATGCAGTTCGATGAGGCCCCGCACGTCCCTGCTGCCACCAGGGTGTCCCCACGCGGGTCCCATCCCACCACAAACAAGATCTTGCTGCCTGTCGTGGGGAAGGACTCTGGCAACGGAATGAGCCAGGAGGACCCCGATGGAGTCCAGCTCTCCTGCCAAAATGCTGTGAGAGGCCACCTGACGGGAGAGAGACCCCGTACGGGGAGAAGAGCCGGTGTCAGGTCCACAACTTCACCAGACCTGGTGGTCGCCACTGACACACTCATCCTGCGCCACGAGAGCCCGACCACCGCGGTGCCGGACAGCAATGCCAACTGACCGCCTGGGCTGTCCCACCCCAGCACCTGAAGTCTCCTGCCCTGTAAGCCCAGAGCAACCTCCTCCAACGCTCTCTGGACCCCAAACCTTGATCTCCGTGTGCCTCCTTCCCCAAGAGGCTTCGTCACACTAGTATTTTTGTAAGAAACTGAATAACGCAGGTTCGGCCAACGCTGCATCAACAGCTACAGCACAGATGCTCCTTCCCTGCTCGGGGTCCCTCCAGGGGGGACCTCTCCCACCAGCACCACCTCATCCTGCCTTCAAAACTTAGCTGGAAGGTTACTACATAAAACACACGGACAACGGCCTCAGGTGGTTCCTCCAAGCCTCTGACACCTGCTGTGCAGGTCAGCACTGTGCTGACACCTAAAATCTGGGGCGTTGAAGCATCTGTGAGAGGATACGCACAGAGCCGACGCTGTTTCATGCATCATCTCTAGCTGTTAGGAGTGAGGGAGTCAAACCGAGCCCTGGTCTCTCGCAGAGAGAAGCGTCACCTTGCTTTGGGCTACGAAACCAAGGCGGAAAAGCAGCAAGGGCATTCCGGAGGCAGATCTCCAGGTGGAGAGGGGGGGGACAGCACCAGCCCGCCTTACCGCACTGCCAAGGCTCCCATGACATCCCACCATCCTACCTGTTCCTCCCACATCATTGCTAAAACGACCTTCCACGTAACCAAACCCCAGCACTGATGATTTAGGAGAGCTGAGATAACAGATCCCAGCGGTTTTTGGAACACGGGAAACGCTTTTGGAGCTCCTCTCCTTGCGCTATCAGCGACCAGCTCACGGGTGAGACCTCAACCCCTCGCGAATGCAGGCTGAAGACAAGACAGGGTTTCACCAATTCCCTCTTCAGCGACATCTGCTGTACAGCAGGTTTTAAGCTGCTCTGAAATACCTTCCTGCACCCCACGAAATTGTTTTTGTTCTTTTTTTTTCTCATTTTGCCCAAAAAATCAAGGAGGGACACACAGGAAGTCAGCTGCTCCTCCCAGCCCAGTCAGCGGTTTTGGAGGCAGCGTGCCGAGAGGAGGCCTAAATCTGCCTCAGCCCTCCTTGACCCAAACCCTCCTCAGCTCCTCCTGTCTTAAAGAAATTTGGAGAAGATGCCTTGAGGCAGGACAGACAGACGCCGAAGCAGACACTCAAGCGCAGCCAGAGCCTCACCTCGGGGACGTAGTTATCCCTCCTCTCCCTCTCCTCCTCCTGCAGTTTGATGGAGATGCCTCGGACGGGGCCCCTCTGAATACGCTTCATCAGGTGGGTGACATACCTGCGGGACACACAGGACCATCCAGGACTTCCTGATTGCTCCCAGAGCTCACGTCTCCCAAAATCGCAGCAGGTTGAGGAGACGGACCTCCC